CTTTTCTTCAAGTGAAGTTATTAGACCATTGGCATAACTGACACCCATTATTGCTTCTCTTTTAAAGTGAAGAGACATTACAGTAGTAATAGATGAAGTTTCAATCAAACAATATTTAAATCTGCACATATAAATCAGAGCTTTATGCACAGTGTAAGGAACACAATAATTACAAAAAAATGAATGTAGGTATCCCTCCCATACATCTATTAATACAGTAATTTAAAACTGTGTAAAATGTATCGTAAGTTTAATATTCAAAGATATCAAGGGCAGTATAATAGCTTTTAAGAAATTTCCCTAAAAATAAGTGACATTATTAACATTATGCTTATTATTGCGTCAAATTTGTAACTACAAATAAATACATGGTAAGTGAAAACTTACTAAAGGGGTTTTTGTTTTTTTAAAAAGTACATTTTTGGTAGTGAAACTTCACAATTTATTATGGTTGCTACACAAAATGTAAACTCCTGAAGAAGAATTTCAGCTCGAGCATTTTAGAAACAGAACATGGGGGAGGGGGAAGAGGGAGGAATCAGAAACCTTGAGTTCTTCAGTGCACGCTTTGCTCTTTACGTGTCAAAGGAATTCAAGGGACAAACAATGGTAGATACATTGCAAAAGCGCAAACAAAGAGGAAAATCAGCCGGAGATATTTATTCATTGCGAATCTTCGTCGGCTTACCATGGATATTAAGTTTACAATGGCCCATTAAATGCATAATGCGTACAGACAGACACCTTCCCTTCAGGGTACAAAATTATCTCCTCCTCTCTTCCTAGGCGTAATTTAATAGACTCCTGCAGACAAAATTACAGCCAAGTCTCTGACTATTTCTCTGCTCATTTAAACTCGTAATAACAAGACCCTTTTACAAGCATTAAAACGAGAGAAGCTGTAGCTTCATAGTGAACTGACCAGAAACAGCCACCATGCCACACAAAAAGAAGTCTCTAAAGCATAGCTGGGAGGGATGAGAATGGGAGATCTTTCACATTTTTCAGCTCCGTTTCCGCGATAACGTGGCCTGATGGAGCCAGGCAGGAAAAGAGACTCGTGAGCGCAGGTTTAACTCGTCCAGGTCTTCTCCCCCCACGCTCCCTGCCCCTGCATCGTGGCTTTGATTTGATTGTGTAGCAAATGAATCCAGGCCATTAACGCCGCGCCAGCCTCTTGTTTCCAAGCTCACTTCCAGGGACTTACTATTCCCCTCACGTCTCCTCTCACCCACCCCCTGGCCCCCACCATGCTCATCGACCCCGGGGGAGGCAAGACAGTGAGCGGCGGCTGCAATCAACCTTGCAGGAAGGAGGTAGCGGCGGGGGGAGGGCTACAGGCACCTTCCCATTCACCGTCCACCCCCGAACGCCCCCTCTTGCCCCCAAACTCCCTGCCCAACTTCCAGGACACAGTCCCCTCCGGGGCCGGGGGCTGCAGCCTTTGCAGGCTGCGTGCGAGCGGGGCAGCGGGAGCAGAGCCCGCGGACAGCAGCCCGGGCTCGGCAGGCTCTGCACCCTGCCGGCTGCGCTCCTTTCTCCCGGGCCCCCAGCCCCAAACTTCTGCCCCACGCCTCAAACTCGCCCGAAAGTTTCCCCAAAGAGGCCGCCAGAGCCAGGCGCGCCAGTCCCTCACCTCTCATTGCCGGCGGGGAGGAGATGTGTGGAGGGGCTTCGTGGGCGCCCAGCGCCGCATGGTGACCTGCCCCACTCCTTCTCTTTCTCCCCTCGCCGCCGTCCCGCTCCCCTCTCCCGGGCCGCTGCACTCTGCATTTCTATATTCCTCCGCAAGCCAGGCCTGCCACCACCACCCCCCCTCCGGAACTAATTTCCCTGGCATGAAAACCTAAACCACACTTCCAGAGACTCCAGGGCTCCCAACCATCTGGCTCCTAAATTATTATACCCTTCACATCAAAAGATCCACTATCTCTCCTCGATGGCAGGACTCATTTCACTGGTTTTTGCTTAAAAAAAGCTTTCGGTAACAAAGCAGAGGCAGCGAAAACTCAGCCTTCGCCCTGCTAATTTTTGTTCTTATTTCTGTTGGTATTTGCAAGTTAAAAAACGAGCAGAGCGGGGTATGATGTCAGTAATCTAGAAGCTGAAAACGGGGGATCTTTTCTTTTGTTATAAAAACTTCAGAGTTTGCTGTTTCAAACCATCCGAGATTATTGCAATCGGCATTTAAATTTATCTCCTCTCGTTTACAGGACCATCATTGCTTTATAGTTTCCTGCTTATTCAACGAACCCTAAAAGGAATCCGGCTAGAACCGAATCAACCTCCTCCAGTGATAACACACCACACGGTACAAAGTTCCCAGTGCAACGAGTGGGAGTGTTTCCCCAGGACTTGTATGCACAGCTGGGTAAGAAAACCTAACCTCTGCAAACTCCAGCTCTGGAAAGTGGCATGCATACTACGCCCTGTAGCCCAAACTCCACTAACCTCCTCATTATCCGGCCAGAAATTGAAGACGGAAAAGACAAAAATACCAACTTGGGAGACAAGGACAGCTTTGCATTCCATTGTGTACAGTTATTTTATTAGACGGCTTATTTAAAACTTGAAAAAAGCAGAACTCTTCAGACAGTAGTCTGGACATTTGTAAATATCTAAAAGGAAGTCCAAAGATACACCAAAAACAAAACAAAACCTTATGCATAAAGATTATCAAGTCCAAAATGTAAGCGACACCGGACCAAATCCTGGACGCCTTACTCACACGAGTAACCACAGTGATTACACTGAAGAGAGCAAGATTTGGCTCAGTGTAAGAATCTCTCTTGCCCTTCGCTTATTCCCTCAACCTTAGAGACAAGTGTTTAGGGTGTTTAAAAGAAGAAGTGGAGACCTAAATCATGGGAGCCAAAAAGATTGTTCTCAATAGGGAGCTCTCCAGAAAGGGTTTTTTGGAAGGGGAGGGAAAACCAAGGTCAGGTATTTCATGGCTCCCAGCTGAATTCAGTTATCATCATTCAGTAGCTGTGTACATGAAAGTCTCTAACAAGTTATGGAAAGGGGAAAAAATAAACAACTACGGGGACATCGAGACAGAACACTATTGCTCCATGTAAAGAAAGAACTTTTACACTGACCTGAAATTAGAACCCTGGGCTCGCTGGTACTTTTATTTGTAGTAACAGTGTACAATTTGCGGTTTAGTAGACAATAGCGTGCAACCTAATATGCATACACACACATATCCCTGTTCTCTAAGATAGAAAATCTTAACCACAGGAATGGGTGGGATTGGCCAAATTATTTATATAAATGACCAGATGTAAAATGTGGTTATCTGAGTGGATCCTGAAGTCTTATCTTTTACAATGTTTGCCAGATTCTACTGCACGTTAGCTATAAGGTGCATTGGTTTTGAAAAGGTCCAACACCTTTGATTTAGTTCCTAGACATTCCTTGAAATAGTAAATGCTACCAATAAAGAAATAGCCATTTGGGATAAAGCTGAAATGATATCGTCCTGGCATGTACATGTAAATAACATTAAAGATTAATACTCCCAAATGTTCCTTGGAGTGATCGCCATTCATTAATAAATGATAAACGCTTAATAACGATCAAACATTTGTTTAGGGAATTCTGACTCGGCAGACTCACTGAGAAACCTAATTGCCTGGAAGAAACCGGAGTTCATCGCCACAGGAAGCAAGCAAAGGGCGAGAGAAGATTACAGGAGCACGTTTATTACGCATTCGCCGTGCACCGTTTTTTTCCTAGCCAAATAAATCAATCGATCGATGCGGCAGCACTGGGAGCCCCAACGATTCCTGCTTGATCTATGACTAAATCTTCACACATTCAGGACCGGATCAGAAGTAATCGACTCACAAATATCTCAAGTTTGCCTTTTTAGTGGCTTGATGGAAATGATTGTAAAGTGAGGACAGGAGTCCTGACGCAAAGACCCCGCAACCTCATTTATGGTTCTAGACAGAACTGGAGCACCTCTGGAGCAAGGACCAGCGGGATAAGAGGGCAATGGGGCTCCTCCCGGTCCCTTGTGTCTCCAGACAACGCTGAACTTGGCAGCCGTGGGGGGAAAAGGAGCCGCCGTGCCCAGTGCGCAGGCTAGAGGGCGCTGCACCACAACACATCGTCCCGGACTCCTTGTTCTTCTTCCACAGGCACCATTTCTAAAACAAGTTACACTTTAAAATAATGCAAAACCCAGTCGAACATCTTTGCAACAAGCCTTCTGAATTTGGTTCCGTATTGTACAGGTTTTGACTGAACTATCTAGATATCTTTGTCTATATCGAGGGAGGGAAATAGATGTGTGTGTGTTGAGGGATCAAAACATAGGTATACATAGGAGTGTGTGTATATACCCACACACACTAGCCAGACAAACACAGTAGTGTGTACTTCATTAAAGCCTATTTATGCTACTGGACAACATAAATACAATTAAATATTTTTTTAAAATCCAGGGAAAACAAAATCTAAGAACTCACCAGACCAGCTGGACTTAATACTTCTCTCCCAAAGTCCACTCTAGTTTAGTTGATTCCCCGCACACTTTGTTTAATTAAAAAAAATTGTCAAGCGTCTAAAGTATGAACTTTGCCACCCTTCTGTTCTTCAGCACAGGTCCAACGCGCAGCAAATCCAGCGCCCCTGCCCATATCCCGATGGCCGCATTTCGGCGTGTACCCATTCGATTTTCAAACTTGAAAGGGGGTGGGGAGGGGGAGAGAGAGAAAGGCGAGGGACGGAACGACCCAAGTGTTTCAAGACATGTCCAGGCAAAGAGCGGGTAGAGTTGAGCAGTAGGCTCCGCAGCAGCAGAAAGCGAGCTGCAGCGGATCACTGACTCACTCCCTCTCCTCTCCCTCGCTCGCTCTTGGACATCGCTCACTGGAGCGCCGTCCCCTCCCTCTTCCAAGCGTTGGATTGAAGGGATTCTCCAGCGGCGGCAGCCTTTCCTCCTACCCCGGCCCCAGCGGCTCCCTGGGGGCGGATCTCGGCCTCCACAGCAGGGGCTATCAGACACCTGAGCCGGAGCCCCTCTCCCACTACCGCTCGCAGCGTTTCCCGAGCCCGTGTGTGGCAGCAGGTGAAGCGCCGCCGCCTTTCCTGGAGCTGGGGCTCAGTGGGGATGCGTCCCGGGTCTAAGCCCCTGGCCCGGGAGTCGGGCTCCGCTGTCACCGTTCCAGCCCTCTTGGCAGCAGAAGTTTGGGCTGTTGCCGTTCCCTTTTCCAAAGCGCTTCCTCCACTCCTGTATCGCCCCCTCCCTCGGCCTCTGCACTACAGCAGCACAGCCCAGCCTGTAGCAAATGCTGGGTAACTTTCCCCTTATAAACCTTTGAGCTACCACTCCGCTCTCATGATTTACTCCTCAAACGCTTTACCAATACCCCACCCCTCGGAGGGTACTGCCCATGCACCGGGTGCAATTTCCAGCAGGTCATACCTGGATCAACTCCAGGCCATTTATCAACAGGACAGTCAAAAAGGGCGATTATGCTAAATTCCAATACCCCCCTCCCTCCCCCCAGCTGTTTTGGCACTAGATCTGCATAAATAAAAGAGGGAAGAGTTGGTTTTGTTCCTAACAGGGAAAAGATATGTTTTTCTCCCACTCTCTTCATAATCCAATACATAAATAAACTGTTTGATGATTTAACTGGGAATTGGTCCTGCTTCGAGCAGGGGGTTGGACTAGATGACCTTCTGGGGTCCCTTCCAACCCTTATATTCTATGATTCTATGATTCTATGTTTTGCTCACCCATTCAAACAAAAAAAATCATCCTCCAGCAGAAACCAGCCTGGAAAATTTCAGCCTCAAAGGTCAAAATTTCAGAAAGTTGCAAGTAACTGTAAACAGGGGGTCAGAATGGTAAGGCATATGAAACAGAATGCTACTTGCCTATGTGACTTTGACTAGAGCAGTCACTGCTGCTCCTACAGTAATGCTTACTTATGTGCCTCACAAGGGTGTTGTGAGACTAAATTTGTAAAGTACCCTGAGAGTCTCAGGTGGATGATGGAGTAGAAGTGCAAAGTAGCATTGTATAGCACCTTTCATCCCTAAGGATTTTCAATCACTTTACAATCTATGGCCTTGATCCAAAGCCGGTTGAAGTCAATGGAAGGATTCCCAGGGTCCAACCGGAATAGCATCTACAGCCCCTTTCTGTCACACACTTAAGGTACTGGGGTTACTGCATCTGTATAAAAATGGAACTGTAGCCTCTGCTGTAGTTCACCTCAGGTTTCTCACAATGTAGGCTTCTATAATGGACTACACAGGGTGTAGGAGCATTGGAGTTCAGCAGATACAGGGTGATGTGTCAGCAGACCAGAGGCAATGGCGTCACGTGAGGCCATGTGCCCCTCCAGATTTCTGCCAGGGTGGGAGTTGGGCTGAGCATGGCTGAGAGGGATGTGGTTGGGAAAGGCACCGACACCTAGCATTCGTGCTGATCCCCACTAGAGTGCCTGGAGCAGGGAAGAGAGATGGGGCTGGCAGTGCAGCTCCACCAGAGGGGACACAGGGAAGCCTTCTGAGTCTCATCCCTTCTTCACCTGCAGCCACAGTTACCGCGGTGTCTGTAGCTCACTCTGGCTCATGCCATGCCTGCATCAGGGAGGCAATAGGAGAAGTGAGTGGGGAAGGAGCTGTGAAGGGAGTGGGGGCAAGGTGGCACTGGCTTGGAGCAGGTGTGGGAGGTGCAGGGGAAGTAAGAAAGGGGCCAGAAGCAATGTGTGGGGTGCTGAAGTGCCTCCAAACCTTTAAATTGTATCCCCTCCCACTATCAAGAGTTATGGATCAACTCTGCAGCAGATCCTCCAGAACAGCAACTATATGGCGCTTAGTTGGTACAGAAGGCCTTGCCCTCATGGTAGGCCAATTTAACTGGATAACAATAAGAAATTAACCCACATCAGACTTTGCAACAGATGGTGATTATTCATACCCTTCTTTCTTTACTTTGCCAGGGAAGAGGTGGACACTGAAGGAAGATGGAAATACTGGGAGGGAGCTATGAGCCTCTGGTGAAACAAAGGTGAAGCCTCCTCAATGGTTGATTAAGTGGGAGTGGTTTCTCAATCTGGATGATTCATCGTCTCATTCCTCATTTCATATTATTCCAAGACTAAGCATGTGGTTTCTTCTTCACATAAATGGCTTACTTCCTCAATTGGATTAAATTGTCACATTTATATATTTTATGAAATAAATACAACCACATTTGAATTACAAGACTATAATTCAATTTGAGGGCTCTGGTTTCTACACAGGCCTTTCCAACTTGAGTGGCTTGTGTGGTCACTAATAGCTAGAGTTGGCACAATTTGATTTTTACTTTTTTATAGTTTTGATGAATAATATTGATGTTTAGTTTTAAGCATTTTGTTCTGATTTTTATCAATTTAAATGTTCACAGTTGGGCAAAATTGAGGGTCTTAAGCATATTTTATTTTTATCGATCAAAATTTTCACAGTTACAAGAACTTATGGAGGGAGTCAGACAAAAATTATTTAATAGCAGCAGACACTGAGATTCAAAAAGCTAAAACTTTAGAAACTGTTAAAACACACACTGTCAACCTCACATATTAAAGTGTATTAGGTAAATATTCTTAAAATCAAACTCTAATAAGTTAATAAGCAGCATTTTTCTTACTTTGATGGAAAAATATATCCATCAATAAATCAAATTTTCAGATAGGTAGTCTGTGTGTGTACATTGTAATCAAAGATTATCAGCAATTACCAATAATTATCTAATCTTTCCAAGTCTTATTATAGCCCAGTATTTTGAAGCTGACTATTATATATCTTGTTGGCTGTGTGACAGACCTAGACCAGTGGGGTACAGGAGTCTGGTCCTATTGGGATCCGGGAAGTAGGCAGGGTACAAGAGTCTGGTAGAAGGCAATATACTGGCCACTGGATGAATAGTTTTCTGTTCCCTGAGTGACCAGAGCAAGGGCTGCCCTAGAGCAATCAGGAACCTGCTAGAACCAATTAAGACAAGCAAGCTAATTAAGATACCTGGAGCCAGTTAAGAACTTACTAGAATCAATTATGGCAGGCAGGCTAATCAGGACACCTCGTTTAAAAAGGACCTCCCATCAGTTGGGGGGGAGGGGGCGATGTGCTGCTGGAGGATTGAAGAGTATAAGCGTGATCAGGAGGAAGATCCTGAAGTGCGGATAAAGGTGCTGGGGGAAGGCCATAGGGAAGTATCCCAGGGAGTTGTGGCTGTCACGCAGCTGATACAGGGGACATTGTAGACAGCTACAATCCACAGGGCCCTAGGCTGGAACCCCGTGTAGAGAGTGGGCCTGGATTTCCCCTATTCCTCCAACTCCTGAACAGACACAAGAAGAGTTGACCTGGTCTGTGAGAAACACCAGAAGGGAAGGTCTATTTGGAAAAGGGATCTGGCCTGTCCCCAACCCACTAGGTGGGTCAACAGAGACTGTGGAGATTGTTCTCCATTTCCCCCATGCTGGCCAGTGATGAGGTTACCTGAGTGAACGGCAGGTTTGAGCCTCTAGCGGAAGTGGCCAAACTGAGGGCTGCCATGAACCTCTGAGGCAAGCAAATCTGCCAAAAAGTGCAGGGCCCACCAAGGCAGAGGAGGAACTTTGTCACAGCTGGTTTTCATGGGTCAGATAATAACTGGTCAAGGTAGTAGGTTAGCCTTGTAGGCTTTGCTTCAGACTCCCAAGATCTAGAGACATTTACTAGCTAGTTGATTAGATGATGACCATCCAAAGGTGGGCCAGTGAACTTCTCTTAGGAGAAGCTATAAAGGTGTGCATATGTCCAGAAATTCAGAATTTAGAAGGATTGAGATTTAGGTGAGTATCACTACTACTCCTCATAGAACACCCTATCCTATCTCATCCCCACACTATGCTGTGTGGTTCATAGGGAGTTAAAATAGAGAACAAAGGAGACACAAGGTCACTCTGACACATTGAGTGGCGATATTTATAAGAAAAAGGATAAGCCCAGATCTCTAGTCATTGGTGTTTGTAAGTTTTATTATGTGTATAATTTTTATGATCTTCTGTAATAGGTTTCCAAGATAATGAACCATACTGACTAGGTAATTTTTGCAAGATGGTTACTCAATATTCTATTTTCATTTTATGTTTTCTCTCCTCTTTGATTTTTTGGTCTTAAAAATAATGTCTATACAAACAATTATAATTATATTTGACTGCACCATACTTAAGGATGTATCCTTGCAGGGTGACTTCTTAACATGTTATCCAAGAGAAAATTGGTATATTATGATGGTATTTAACGAACCCACGAGCAAGACAGAGAGGCTAGCATTCAAAATACAGGCACCAGTGTATAGTGAGAATATTGTTTCATTCCAAAACAAAACAGGGTGTCTGTACAAGAGAAGAACACTTTGGGTGTCTCTGAAAAGATCAGACTGAGTCATGTGGGCCCATGGTTATGAGACACAACATTGAGAAGTCTGGGAGAAGAGACCTGGACACTACTTTAAAAGATCTTTAACACAGTGCATTTTGGAGCAAAGAATATTCTGGACTAGGTAATCACACACCTGATCAATGAATACAACAAGGAGTCCGGACTCCTTGTTGTTTTTGTGGATACAGACTAACATGGCTACCCTCTGATACCTGATCAATGAATGTGACAAGCCTTTGTAAAGGTGCCCATAATGGATTAAGCTTTAGCTCTGAAACCTAGTTCCACTGTCTATTATTAATAATACTTAGCTCTTTAGACAGATTTATTTTTTTAAAAAGAAACATACACCCATTGTCTAAAATTCTGGGCATATTTACAGCAACTAAGAGACAGCTAATAAAATTTTCAACATCATACTCCAAGCAACTGACTACATAAAAGGACGCATCATAAAAAGGAGCAAAAACTCAGAAATAATATCTCCAAACACAGTAATCAAAAAACCTTTTTTAAGGTCCTAGCACTTTTCCACAACAACCTATCTCAGGCAAAAGCCTAAGCACACAAATGAGCTTTTTACTATATAGTTAACAAATTAGAGTTCTGATGGATCACTTACAGAAGTGAAAGTAAATACTGAAGTCAAGGGTTCTCTACAGAAATAACCTTGCCGCCATCCCCCAGAAATTTACATTGAGGGACTGCTCTCATGCATTTCAGCTGATCATTCAACTATTGCGATTGTATCTGGGGAGAGTCGCAGTCACTTAGGCTAGAGGGACCTAAACTACATGAAGATTTAAAGATGAAAATCAGCGCTTTGAATTACATCCAATTTAAAGATGACAAAGACACGAATAATTGTGACAAGGTCTGTATCAGAGAGAAAAGGTGGCAATTGTCACACAAAGTGCAGATGATAAAAGGTACTTCTGAACATCAACACTGTCTGGGCCTTCAGGAGTAATCAAGGATCCATAACCATCTGTAAAATTGTGAGCCTCCATGGCAAAGGGCTAATACACGTTTTCAGTAATGGGGTCAGGCACAATTTCCAGCAAATTCTCAGTTAGTTATATATGAAGTGATATGATAAGACTGAAATTCACTCCTGTGCAGGGCCTATGTGCTACTTAAATCCCACTTATGCCCTCAAAGGAGAAGCAGAAAAAGAGGGGATGCTACAGTAGTTGGCACAAATTGTAGTCTGAACTTGCTCTCTTCCCCCATTTAACATCAGTAGCTTAATCATCACTTTATTCCTCCCACCCCGGACAAAGAAGATGCTCCATAGTGATCCTGGTTTTGGACAGTAGGAAGGGTTCAGCAGTTCCTCATTGTGGTCTGTCTTTGGTTTCCCTTCCTTACAGGTCCAGGATGAGGAGGACAGAAGGTCCCAGCTGCTGCGTGATTCCTGGCTCTGACTCTCCACAAACCTAGTAGACTGGAGCAACCCCCCTCACCTTCACTTATCTATGGATGCCACCACTATGTCATGGCAGGAGAAAGGTAGCCAATACACATCTGTAGGATTGGCACTGAACACACTCAATTAGCTGACATTATTTAGGTAGGAATATTTTATTTTTCACAATGTAGCTTTTTTTTGAAATTATAGCCAGGGACTTTACACAACATAGAAATAACGCAACTGTAGTTACTGTTTTATTGGGCTTATACAGACTTTTCAAAGAGATACTCTCAAAATAACAAATCATATATCACCATGAATACCATGGAAATGCAAAAGCCCTCTCAACTATTTGGTAGTATGTCATGTGTACTCTGAGCCTGAAGACAAGTACTGGAAGCAACTGAAACATTAGACCCTGTGGTGGATTCCCATTAAACATACTTGCATTTTGTAATAAAGATGTCTTTTGGTAGGGTTACAATAAAAGGTACAATATCCCAATTATTTCACTTTTTGTTTTTTGGTTGAACTCCAATTAACCAAATGTCTTGGGACAACCAAAATATTTGGATAATCTCTATTTGATTAATTGGGAGAACTAGCTAATCTGAGAAGCCAGCTGTTCATCTCTCTTAACAGCAAGTTTGGAAAGTCTACAGTGCATCTCCCACTCAAATGCCAACTGACCTTGAGCAAGACAGGCAACCTTTTATTCAATGCATTTCAAGGGTACCGATTACCCTTAAGTACCAGCCAACAGTTGGGGAACAGCTTCACTGTGCTTTGGAAATGTGAACCTACTTAAGAACGCAACACTCTTCCCCACCAACCTACTTTAAAACCTGGGCCCACAGATGAGCTATTGATTATATAGTGAACAAACTGGAATTCTGATGGATCAACTGGCTCTTTATAATGCCATCCATCTTACTGTTCATTGTGTTCTGGGGCTGGCAAACCAATGTGTAGCTGCAAATGACTGGGGCATGGGCTGTCAGGCCTAGGGGTCAGAGTAGAGGGACAAAACCAAAGACAATGGCAGGTACCAAGCCGAAGGTCAGAACCAGAGAAAATATCAGGGATAAGGCAGAGGAGCAGGGGCCTGGAGTAGAGCAGGAAAGCAGGAACTGGGAGTAGACAGGAGTCTGGGATGGGAAGACAGGAACCAGGAGCAGGTGGGGAAGCAGGAATTGGGAACTGGCAGGAAGGGTCCATAGTAGCAGCCAGCCAAAGATTCCTTTAGTTGCTCAGACAACTTCCTGAATCCTGATGTGACTTCCTGGCTTATATAGGTCTCCTTAGCCAGTCAAGGGGCAGGATGTTTCTTCCAATTGGGAGCTTTAGGGGTTGGGCCCTGTCATAAATATAAAGGGAAGGGTAACCACCTCTCCGTATACAATGCTATAAAATCCCTCCTGGCCAGAGGCAAAACCCTTTCACCTGTAAAGTGTTAAGAAGCTAAGATAACCTTGCTGGCACCTGACCAAAATGACCAATGAGGAGACAAGATACTTTCAAAGCTGGAGGGGTGGGGGAAACAAAGGGTTTGTGTGATGCTTTTGCTGGGAATAGATCAGGAATGCAGACTCAGAACTTCTGTAAAGTTAGTAAGCAATCTAGCTAGAAATGCATTAGATTTCCTTTTGTTTAATGGCTGGTAAAATACGCTGTGCTGAGTGGAATGTATATTCCTGTTTTTGTGTCTTTTTGTAACTTAGAGTTTTGCATAGAGGGATTCTCTATGTTTTGAATCTGATTACCTTGTAAGGTATTTACCATCCTGACTTAACAGAGGTGATTCTTTTACCTTTTCTTTAATTAAAATTCTTCTTTGAAGAACCTGATTGCTTTTTCATTGTTCTTAAGATCTAAGGGTTTGGGTCTGTGTTCACCTGTACAAATTGGTAACGATTTTTATCAAGCCTTCCCCAGGAAAAGGGGTGTAGGGCTTGGGGGGATATTTTGGGGGAAGACATCTCCAAGTGGGCTCTTTCCCTGTTCTTTAACACGCTTGGTGGTGGCAGCCTAGGGTTCAAGGACAAGGCAAAGTTTTTACCTTGGGGAAGTTTTTAACCTAAGCTGGAAAGAATAAGCTTAGAGGGGCTTTCATGCAGGTCCCCACATCTGTATCCTAGAGTTCAGAGTGGGGAAGGAACCTTGACAGGCCCTTCCCTGGACCTTCCCTAGTTACTCAGGTGAACTGGGTGGCAATTATGGCCTGAGCACTACTTTAAGGCCTGTGATCCCTCACAGTAGTCTGCTGCTCAGTGCTAGGCAGACTTGGCAGCAGCATCTGCATCAGTTTTCAAATCCCCAACCTCAGGGAAGCTAGCCAGTGGCTCTTCACTGCGCTTTATACTGTATTTGAGGAACTCAGAGTGCAGTAAACAATAGAGTACAATCCCTTATGTGCCACAGTGACCATAACCAAGTTTTGGTTATCCACAGCTCAGTCAATCTGTGTTGGACTGAGTTTATATTATGAACACTTGACACTTAGAGAATATCTTTGAAAATCTGGGCCTAAGGGCCCAGGTAGCTTTGGGCATGTCTACCAGGGGAAACACAGGCTCCTAGTAGAATTCAAATGCCTACAGCGTTATGTGGCAGCTGAGCAGTGGTTTTGAGAATGTCAGTGGCACCTACATGTTGGATATAGGTGCCTAAAGAGGCAGTTAGTTGTCTAAGTATCTTTGTAGATCTAGCCTTAAGTGCCTAAGTCACATTTGAAAATAAGATTTAGACCTTATAACACTAAGTGGGACTTGCAACACTAAGCCTTTGGCCCATTTGAAATGAATGGGAGTTAGGTGCCTAAATACCTTTGGAGGGTCTGGGCTCTAGTAATTAAAATGGTGAAGTACATAAGACAGTAAGAAGAAAAAGTCTGGCCTTGGGATACAGGAGTAGAAGAGGAGTAGTCAGTGGGCTAAATGACTGTGATATAGTGAGGGGATTGAAAGTGGGAAGCTGAAGGTACTGTGTTGTTACGAGTTGGATTACTTTACTTTCACTCAAAGTGATCAAGTGATAATTCCTGTAATGTACCCAGCAGAGCTGGATATAACCATTTATTTTCCGGTGCTCATTCACTTGCACAATGTTGCTGTGTCCCCAGTTTGCACACTGGAAAGGAATTTGTAAATTAAAAAAACCTTCTTTTCATGGAATAATTTTTTTAACTCATAGAGGGAAAAGTCTATTTATTTTCTTCCAAAGACAAATGTTGCATCTAAACTCCTTGACGGTGTCCATTTCAGCATGGTTTTATATTCTCTTAGTTAAGGTTATTTCAATTCATTGAATAGTTTACAATATAGTAGACTTAAAATGTTTGTTTTAATTTAGGGTGGTCTTTTTACATCAGTGTCTCAAACAGTTCTTAAAAATATTTAACATTCTGTAGTAATAAAGTTTTATATTTGCATCATTTCAGGCAACTGTTTTACTAAACACAACCACACTTCTGAGGTATTAATTTCATAAATATAGTGAAAGACATAAAATTAGACATTTTTTGACAACCAACACCACTGACACTAATTAACTGATACAGTGACATTCTAACATTCTTTAATATAATATACAGTTTTTACACATACATATTAAATAGCGATTCCCTCAAGCCAACATACAACCTACAATTACATGAATATCTATATCAGCGGTTCTCAACCCGCGGCCCAATTAGCACACAGCTGCGGGCCAGCTCTGTGCTAAAAAAAAATTCAAAATTTGCTTCTCTGGTCTGACAAGGGGCAGAGCTGGCCAAGGGGGAGACAGCGTCTTGCAGCCTGCACCAGTGCTCCTGCCAGCAGGGAGCTGGTGAGTGCCGCAGGGGGCAGGAGAGTGGATCTGTGGGCACGCTTGGGGTGGGGGTGAGGGGCTCTGGGCAGTGAGGGGGTGGGTGTGGTGGGAACTAGGGGTTTGCCGGGGTGTTGAAGCAGCCCCAGGTTTTAGGTGGGACTCTGCTCCTGGCCCCCCTTCTTGGGTCCTGGCTGCCAGCCTGCATCGGGTGCTTCGCTCCTCCCCACACAGCAGGGTCCCGTGGTCTGGCCACCTGGCCCACACCCAGGGCTCCATTCCTGGCCCCACTCTTTGCAGGGGGGGGTACTGGGCACAGGGGACTGTGGGCGTTTTGGGAGGAGCGCTGTGGTTCTCAACCTGTGGCCCATGTAACACATTGTGGGCCACATATGTGGCCCACAATGGTAATCAGGTTGAGAAACTATATATCTATATATACACCACATTAAAAATATATCTAGGTGTAATTAAACTGTATTTAAATCCAGGCTGATTAGATTTTGTTGGCCAGTGAGTAACGGTGTTTATTTGTTTTATTTTATTTTATTCTTTCTTTCTCTATTCCTGCAGCTCCCTACTCAATGGAATCACATGCAGAAGACAGCAGCCTACCCAGCAAGCTGCTTTGCTTCGCTTCCCTACCTCATTCAGAATACTTTAACAACCTCTCTCGTCACCTACTGTTCTGCAATATGGTCCTAATCCAAGTCCAACTGAAGTAAATGGAAAGAGTCCCATTGACTTTTGCGGACTTTGAATCAGGCCATATGGCAGTAGTCTAAGGGCCTATCCACACAGAAAGTGTGTGACAAGCCAGGGTGTGAATCTACAAGGTGCCACTCATTAACTGGCTGTGTAGACCTTGCTAGGCACAAAGTGCACTGTGGAACTTTTAGTGCACAGTACCAGGATCCACACAATGACTCAGTGTGTGGCAGGCTGGTGTGACGTAGGTTCAAACCCTGGCTTGTTGTGCACTAACTCTCCATGTAGGCAAGCCCTAAGTATGTAGCCAACAAGAGACGCTCAGAGTAGCAAGGAGCACTCCTCACCTGGGACTTCTGGTACAGCAAGCAGGGAATGGGGAAGATGGGAGGTCTCTGGAGGAGGGAGGAGGAGCCATAAAGGGATAGGGAGAGATATGGTGAGGAAGAACTAGGGGAGTGATTGGTGAGAGAGGCAACCTAGCCTCCTTGGAAGCAATATATTTCTTATGGCATTAAACAGCTAACCTCCAACTAAGAGTAGCAATGACAGAGATGAGGGTAGCAGGGATCACTCTGTTGTTGGGACTCAGTCAATTAATAATCAATCCATAAATAAATTC